GAAGATAACCATATCCCAGACCCAGTCCTCCCAAATCCTCATTCTTGAGATCAATTAGCTGTAGTCAGTACTTGGGGGATTCCCAGTACTACCAGCACCAATTATCTGAAAGGGGTCCCAGTCCCCTTTCCCTCTCAGCCTTGCTCTGTTAAGTAGCTTATAGAAGCAACCCCTAACATCAAGGCAGCCAAGTAAAGGCTCTACCTGGAAGGACTAAGCCCTTGGCTTTTTTCTTCCCAGACTTTCCAGCCAGGAGGTAGCCTGACAGTAGCCACCTCCTGACACATATATTAAATGAAGTAATATATATATATATATATATTGTATGAGTCTAGGAACTGAGGTGGTATGGTATGATGGATGAGGTTCTGTCCTCAATAAAAACCCTGCCCTAAGGAAATTCATGCTAACCTGAGATGGAAGGAGAGAGAAAAATAGGAGATAAGGTTTTAAGATACCAGAACAGCTGAGATCTCAGATGATATTAGGTTGAGGAGTGAGCAGTACCTAAAATAGAGTAACACAAGGAAAATGGACAGGGGAATTTGTGAGCTTCACTGTGCTCATGATTTGTGCCTGGGGTAAAAACTATTGAGACTCAAAGAAAAGGCAAAGGGTTTGAGAAAGAAGGAAGATCATCATTGAACAACATTACATTAGGGTATCAGATGCATGGGGTAAGAAATAGGGGTGAATTGGGATAAGGTGGGGTTTACTCATGGTCTCTTTTCACAGATGGGAAAAGAGACCAGAGGGTGGGTCACATGGAGGAGTGATATAGGATTTGGCTCTTGGTATAAGGCTTTCTCTAGTATGCTAGTGCCTGTGCCTATGGAATTGGTACACTAACATATTTTAATATGTAATTTTGTATGACATTATACACCTCATGTGATAGACTAGTGTACAATGCATCATAGAAACTAAAGGGGTGTGGTTTTTGTTAGTGTATCAGTTCCATTGGTGCAAGCATCAGTACATGAGTATAGCCCTATACATGGAGTGAAATTGAGATATACCTCCACCTCACCAACTCCACTCCCAGTCTCTTTTCCCCATTTGTGAAAAGAGATTGTGAGTAATTCCCCCAATTCAATTTCATCCAACTTTCCCTTCTCTCTTTTCCTCTTTCTTTCTCTCATCTTTCTTTAAACATCCCAATCATCTATTGATGTATCAAATCCTGAACTTTGTCTTCATGTTTCCTCTTCAAGCTCTTCACTGGTCAAAACTCTATGCACAGATCATGAGCAAAAGAAGCTCACCCATATCAATTTCTGTCCATTTATTCCCCCACACTACCTTATTTAAGGTACTGAAACCTCTCACAACTCAATCTTATCTCACATATCAAACACACTGTATATTCACACATCTTGTCAAACTTTGTTCATGTCTCTTGTCCAAATCTATAGGTTAGTATCTTTTCCCAGAACAGGTGTAGAGAAAGAGGACAGAACCTCACTCACCCTATCAATCTTTATCAGCCCCCCCCCCCCCCCC